CCTTCCTTCCTACCTTCCTTCCTTCCTTCCTTCCTTCCTTCCTTCCTTCCTTCTTTTCTTCCCTTCCCTCCCTGCTTTAGATATCATGGGTTTAGAGCTGGGAGGGGGGGGGACCCCGGGTGGGTTCCAGAGCAATTGAAGGCCTGCTGACGGTTCCCCCAGTTGACCTTTCAACCTCTCCTTGCTCTTCCAGGTGGAGCTGACCGGCAGCAGCATCTTCGACTACGTCCATCCTGGAGACCATCTAGAAGTGGCCGATCAGCTGGGGCTGAAGGCTCCCCTGGGTCCCGGCCACCCCCACCGCCCCAAAGCCCCCCTCCTGGGCTCTTCTGCCTCGTCCGAGGGTCCTCAGTCAGGTACAGCCACTCTCGGGTGGCTCAAGCAGGCTTGGAGGCTGTCCGGTCATCTGTTGAGTCAGGAAGCACTTGGCACATGCTCAGAGACACCCTCTCCCTCCGGAGCTTCCTTAACAGAATTCCGATGAGCCACGGCTGGCCGATCCCAAACCCCGTAACCTGGTTTGAGGGATGGATGCGACTCCTGCCTGGCTGAGCCCTTAAAACGCAGCTTGAATAAACCATGGTTTCCTTCCGGAGGGTTGTGGGCACCCTTACTCCAGAGTAAGCCCCTGTGCGATGGTCTGAGGAGGAGTTGGGGGGCTCCCTGGGGTGCAGGAGCTGAGCCAGGCCTGGCCTTTCATTGTACATGGGCTGGGGAGGGGGTCTCGGCTTCACCTCCCCTTCTTCCTAGCCCCCCCCCCTCCCCGTGAAGGACGGGCAGGGGGAAAGAGAGGAAAACCTCTTGGGCCGCCTCTGCTCTGCCCCCCCCCCCTGGATTGTTGCCGGCTGAACTGGTTAAAGATTTATACCAAGACGGCAACTGAAAGAGAATAGCAGATCAGCTGTCAAGGCTGAGTCCTCCGAAGGGGAAGGGGTCCTCCAGGTGACGGGCGAGGGTCTATTGCGCCTTGGTCCTTGGCCTGAATCGGGCAGCTTTGCCCCTCGGCCCCGAAGCATCTCTGGGGCAGGAAGGAAAAGAGACGTTTTCTCTCTCCCTAGTTGAGAAGCCATGGAATCTAAATATTAGGTCTTCTCTTTCTTCTCCTCCCCTCTCTCTTTGTCTTCCTTCTTGTCCTCCTTTTCCCTCTTCTCCTCCTTCTCCTCGTTCTCCCTCTTCTTCTCCTTCTCCTCCTTCTTCTTCTCCTCCTTCTCCTCCTTCTCCCTCTTCTTCTCCTT